TACACAAACACATATTTGAGAAATATATTTGAAGATTATTACATATGCTATTACTCCTTCATTAAGAGAGAAATTTAGAAAAGAAAATATTAAAATTTTTGTTTCTGTCTGACTATACTATTTTAAAATGTCAGATATATTCATTATATATTCCCAATCTTGATGTATATGACACCATTGATTTATTTTGAGAATGCTGAAAAATGTGTTTTCCAAGTTACATATTTCTCCAACATTTCTGACCTTGAGTAATGAATGGAAGCTGCTTGAATTCATGGAAAAACATGGAAACAGACTTGTTTAGCAAATCCTATAGCAGAATTGCTATATTTTAAATGAAAACCATCTATGATTAGTTTCTGTTTAGTAATAGATCTCTGCCACTAACTCATATATACCCATTATGTGACATTCACAGAATTAAATATAGGCCCAATAAGAAAACCTGTCATCCATACTAGCTGGCAGGCGGCAGTATAAACTACATGCTATAATATGAAATCCACGATCATCAGCTTGAGGAGTCTGTTCAGTAATATTGTGAATAACAATATTAACAATTTATTGTGGAAAAACAAGGTGATATTAAGTGAAAATTCTGCCAGTCCACATACTTATGGTAGTCTGTTCAAATTATGAAATAGGTAAGAGAACATTAATGTATGAAGATACTAAGGAAGGCCAGTAGGATCTATGCAGAATATGTAGCCTTATTTTGACAGCAGCAATAGTCCAACATCTTCACTGTCTTTGATCACAGACAGCTGTATATCCAGACTAGGAGTAACATTTCTTTTTTTTTGGAAGGGCAAATAGGTTTTTGGTTTCTTAGCTCTTTGCCTTACAAACCATACTTAGGTTTGTTTAGAGATCCCGAAGAAGAAATTGCAAACAAATGTTTCAGATAATTGGTTCAGTCACATAATTCTTTCCTATACCATGTCATGCTGCACCTGCTCTTATTATTGTGTTTTGATTTTACTTCTATTTTTATCAAAATTTTAAATTGTGTAGTAAGCTAGAAGGGATATTTTTAGCATGTAAATAAAAGGGTGGGGATTGGTATGAGAAAATTTTTGAATGACAACTGTGTGGCTGTGACCCAGAACATTGTTTTTATTTGTCAGCTGGGAAAACAGACCTAGTAGCATTTGGACAATTATTTTACCTTTGTACTGAATGATTATATGATCTTTTTATAAAATGCAAAGCCATTAGCAACAGCTTGATGCTATTTGGAGAACTCTCACAGGTGAACAATTTGCCTTTCTCATTTGAGAACATTTTATATAATTGGAAACAGAGCCATGCATTCAATGCAATTTACACTTAAGGCTCAGTTGAAAATAGCTGTATGTTAACCTGGACGCATATACAGTCTTCGATTTACAACAGTTCATTTAATGACCATTCAAAGTTACAACGGCACTGAAAAAAGTGATTTATGATCATTTTCACACTTACGACGATTGCAATATCCTCATGGTCACATGATCAAAATTTGGGCATTTAGTAACTGACTCAAATTTATGACCGTTGCTGTGTCCCAGGGTCACGTGATATCCTTTGGTGACCTCCCTCACAAGCAAAGTCAATGGAGAAGCCAGATTCACTTAACAACCAGGTTACTAACTTATCAACTGCAATGTTTCACTTAACAACTCTGGTAAGAAAAGTCACAAAACGGGGCAAAATTCACTTAACAAATGTCTCATTTAACAACAGAAATGTTGGGCTCAATTGTGGTCGTAAGTCAAGGACTATCTGTATACGCAGTTTGCCTTGTCCATTCAATAGACCTTTGATAGATTTAACTTGGTATATACTAGGAGAAATTGAGGAGAAATTTCCTGACAATTAGAACAATTAATCAGTGAAACAGCTTGCCTCCAGAAGTTGTGAATGCCCCAACACTGGAAGTTTTTAAGAAGATGTTGGATAGCCATCTGTCTGAAACGGTATAGGGTTTCCTGCCTAGGCAGGGGATTGGACTAGAANACCTACCTAACAGATGTGTCACTTAGCAACAGAAACTTTGGGCTTAATTGTGGTTGTGAATTGAGGACTACCTTTAGTGGCAGTCATAGATTAAAAAAACAACAAAATAAGAACAGAATCAGAAGGCAAAACAAATTTTCAATAGTGTTTTCCCGAAAAAAAGACATTATTTTCTTTTGACTCCGAAATAAGCACTTGGCCTTATTTTTGGGGAGGTCTTATTATTTTTGAGGTGCAGGAGATGGCGAGTGTGGTCACCTCATGGCTGCTGCTGTGTTGCAATATTTCCGGGGAGGGCTTATTTTCAGAGGAGGGTATTTTTAGCTCATGCGCTCAAAAGCTCGTTTGGGCTTATCATCCGGGGAGGTCTTATTTTTGGGGAAACAGGGTAGCAAAAACTAAGTAACATTGTTACTTAAAGAATAATGCTATTAAATGGATGACTGTCTGTTCACTATGTGCAGACTGACTAATTTTCAGTTGACAGTCTATATATTTTCCTTTTTGATTTTACAAATGGTTTCCTTCTTACACATTTATATCATTATTTTGTTATCTTATGTCTTTTATAGAAAGTATTTTCATTGAAGAAAACATTTTATTTCAGCCATTTTAAAATTTTTATTCAAAATAAATTGTATCTGGTAGCAGGCTTATTTTGATGTGTCTGTTCAATTTGTATTGCTTACAAGTTAACAATTCATGATTTAATTAGGGCATCCATTGGAACCCTGACACTCTTTCTTTACATTTTGTATATCAGTAATTCATCTATATTTCCTTACATAGTGGTACATGGTTACTATTGTTCATATCTATAATCGCTGGAAGAACAGTGAACTCAGATGTTATGTGAATGGAGAACTAGCATCATATGGAGAGATAACATGGTTCGTCAATGCCAGTGATGTAAGTAATTCACGATATCAGTTTCAGGAAATATTGTATGCCTTTTCTGTCTTGTGTTCCTCATGTTAAAATTGAAAATGAAAAATGGAAATTTACTGTTCTCTCAACTTTTTGCACTAGCGTTTAAACAATAATTTGAAGCACGGATCTTGACATTTGATCCAGATATATATTTTTTCATTTATAAATATGAGTAGATATGTCACAATTTTATAGGGTTGTTAGCATGCAGTAATATGAATATCCGCTTGAGATGCTATTAAAAGATGGGATGCAAATCTAACGAATAATAAATATTATTGGTCTTTAGGGCTAATTGACCTTGGTCTAGATAAGAGATTTCCTGATATTGTGACTGGCATCTTCAGAGAAAGGGGGGGTCTTCTAGGCCCTATTTTTCTGTTATTTTGTCGTTTAAGGCTTCAGAGCCCAATTCAGAATAGTTCTTATGATGAACCCTTTAGAGCAGATGCAACTCTACAATGTATTTTATTCCAGGTGGTATGGTGGTGACTATAATGTTTTTGTTGTATGGTCTATTTTTACATCGATCAGAGTAGTAATGTGAGCAGTATATTTTGCACTGAAATAAATTAATAAAAGCAATAAGTAGAAAAATACACATTTTTTTTCTTATTCACATTTATTTCCTTAGTTTGTCATACGCATCATTTAAATTGTAACTAAACTCTTCTTTTTATATATTTAGCAATATTTATAGATTAAAATATAGGATAAAATTTCTATATCTTCTCTTTGGCCAATCTGTGAGAATGAATGAATGAATGAATGAATGAATGAATGAATGAATGAATGAATGAATGAATGAATGAATGAATGAATATGTAAAAATAGTCTTACCAACTAAATAAATACATGTGGATAGGAAATAATTTATGTGATTTTTCTACTTTATTGCTATTGTTAATTAAATTATGTCAGTACTGTATATTCTACTCACCTCTCTACTCTGATCAATGTAAAAGCAATCCATATAACAAAAACATCACAATCACTACTGCACCACCTGGAGTAACTGCTACCTAAGAAAATATCATAAGTAAGAAAAAAAGAATAATGAATTATATTCTGACTTCATTAAAATTGATTTTAAGGAAGCTATGTCCACAACTTCAGTGACTGAACTACTTTACTCATCCCAAATACATATACAACAACAAAAAACAAAGAAAGAATGGAAGATATTTTATCATGTATGTAGTCTTCACAATAACAAATTAAACATTGACTAGATTTTTTAATTTACTTTCTTAGACATTTGACAAATGTTTCCTGGGCTCTTCAGAAACAGCAGATGCCAATCGAGTATTTTGTGGCCAGATGACAGCTGTTTATCTTTTCAGTGAAGCTCTAAATGCTGCTCAGATCTTTGCGATTTATCAACTTGGTCTGGGATACAAAGTGCGTATAGTCCTAAACAAGATTTTGGTGGAGCTGAAAAAACTTTAATTTCATGTTGGATTCATTTTAAATATGTAGCAACATTCCTGTTAAGTGATATGTGGATTTTTAAATATTCTGATTTCCATTTGCTTTATACAATAGCAATAGCAGTAGACTTATATACCGCTTCATAGGCCTTTCAGGCCTCTCTAAGCGGTTTACAGAGAGTCAGCATATTGCCCCCAACAATCTGNCTTGGAACAGCTTATATCCTCCGACGTTACCTTAACAGTTCCTAGGTCCTTGGTTAGGACTCGAGCTGTTGAGCTACCAACCATCCCCAAAAGCTGTGAATCTCACCAAAGATTAACCACATAATAATAACAGAATGATTAGAAATATAACTTGCATATATTCCAATGCTGGGTTATTATATGCTTGATCATATATGTTGATACTAGTTCATGTATTGCTAACATAAAACAAGAATTCAGTCAACAGTTTTATGTAAATTTTGTTAGGAACCTTAGTCAATTTTGTAAGATTTGTACCCTGATATATATGTGTAAGTTTGCATTATCAACCTCTTCATTAATTGCACAGCCTAGTGTAATATTTCTATTATCTGTCACAAGAAAAAATGCTAATTCTGAAAATAAATCCTAAAGTTCCTTCTTTATAAATTTCAGCTTGTAGGTGGTCATTTTGATCTGGAAATGAATTTTATTATACAAGAAGGAGAAGGTATTACATGCATGTTGGACTTAATGGATAAGTGTGATGTCACTTGCCAGGCAGAGATATGGAGCATGTTCACAGCCATCCTGAAAAAAAGTATCCGGAATCTGCAGATTTGCACAGAAGTAGGTCTCATTGAGCATGTGCTTCAGAGGATTGATAGAGCTGACAATATGATTGCAGGTATGACTTCTTAAATGGTCCTTACTTCCAATGAACTAATATGAAACCCTTTTTCATACATGACTGAAAAAAATAAATATTAACCTATGTCTAATAACCTTTGTTTAATTTTCCACAGATCTTTTAGTAGATATGCTTGGAGTATTAGCAAGCTACAGTGTGACAGTTCGGGAATTAAAGCTATACTTTAGCAAACTTCAAGGAGACAGAGGGAAATGGGTATGTAGAAATCTGTATTAGTAAAAAAGTATTTTTTATTTTAAATAGATATCCGTAACTTTTCATATCATAAATTAATTTTATCAGTAAGGTAAAAGGTAAAGCTTTCCCCATACATGCATGCTAGTCGTTTCCAGCTCTAAGGGGTGGTGCTCATCTCCGTTTCTAAGCCAAAGAGCCAACACTGTCTGAAGACATCTCCGTGGTCATGTGGCCAGCATAACTAAATGCTGAAGGCGCATGGAGCGCTGTAACCTTCCCACCAAAGGTGGTCTCTATTTTTCTACTTGCATTTTTACATGCTTTTGAACTGCTAGGTTGGCAGAAGCTGGGAGAAGTAATGGGAGTTCACTCCGTTACACAGTGCTCGGGATTCGAACCACTGAACTGCCGACCTTCTGATTGACAAGCTCAGCATCTTAGCCCCTGAGCTACCACGTCCCTCTAATTTTATGAGTAATCGAAATAATTTTTTATAGTTATAAGTTATAGTTAATAATGAAAACTGGGAGTCAGGTAGTGATTTTCATTTTTGTTTATATGTCATTGTGTCAAACAAGATCCAAAGAAAAATAATTGCAACTCAAAACAAAATCAAAGTAACAATGCCCGGAGGAAAAGCATACAAATACCTAGGAGGAAGGTCCCCTTTGTCCCTGCTCTATTCCAAAGCTCTTCAGAAGAGTCATGTTTTAATGATTTTTTTCATGGGAGGCATCCCAATTTTGGGAACCATGCTGTTCAGAAGAAGAGCAGGAGACACTGTGAAGCTTGTCCCTGTGCAGATGACTTGTCTTAAGGTAGCTGAAAAGAGCAGATCCCATAGATAAAGCAGGTTTTAAGCCCTGCAGGGCTTTAAAGGTGATACTTTGAGTTCCATTTTGAAGTAAATAGATGTATTACATAAGAAAACATAGTAATTCCCATGTGTATATAAGATATTATGTTCTAGCCCAATGGAAGTTTGGATGCTCTTCAAGGGTAATCCCATATACAGCACATATTAATCCAAACAAATGTGTCAGAAACGTGATCCTCTGTCTAAGAAAGGTCAAAATTAGGGGCTTGAAAATGTGAAAAAGGTTTTCTTGCCCCAGAGGTCTTGTTCTTTAAGCAATAACTGCAAGTCTAAAGGGACATCTAAGTTACGAGGCCACTCTACATGGAACAGCACAGCCCTATCCAGACCCACATATGTCCCTGCTGTCAGAAGGCTACTGAACTCATAACTTTTTCACCTGGTTGGGATTAACAAGTTCCAGACACCAATATAAGACTTCCATCCTGTTTCTATTTTGGCACAGGGTAGAGATATACAGCTGGGTATCATGTGAGGACAAATGGATGATACCTAAATCTGGGCTGGTAGATAATCCAATTCAGTGGCTTTATGTAGCTATTAAATGGGAGAGGAGAGAATGTATAGTGCACAATTCTGTAACGCCCCATAATGGAGAATTCTAGAACATGACTTCTTCTCCTTCTTACTATTAAAATATAACGTGAAGGAGAACAACTACAACACAGTGCTTCCCTCTCCCAGTCCCAGACAAGACAGTAAAATACCATGATCAATGTATTCAAAAGCCACTGAAAGGTCCAGCAAGATCAGGGCAATTGAATTCCATTTCGCTAGTCTCATCACAGGTTAGCCACAAGAGCGATAATTGTGTTTTCAGGACCACACCCAGGACTGAAATAATTTCCTCCAGGATCCTTCCAGGCCAGCTAACACCATTCATAAGAAGGGTAAATTGGAGACTGGGGTGATAGTTGTTTGGTATTGCTAAGCCAAAGAATGACCTTAAGACAAACCTCTTTAAGACAAAGCTCGTTGTCTTCTTTCAAGGAAGCATTGTGATTGGCCTGACCAGCCTCACATTTCCTTCCTGGAGGTTTTCACCAGCCAGGAAAGAGAGATTTCCAATACACAAATGCCAGGGCTAACATTACAAAGAACCCTGTCTACCTCCTCAGGATTATAGGCTCAGATTCCTGCTAGGTAATCTTTGAAAATGATATGTCAGGCATCTCACTTCTAGCCAGCATTCATCTTTGAGCATTTACAAGTGACTTTATCCTCCACATAACTTGAAAACACTTCACAGTAGTCAGCAGGTGTTTTTCCCTGGGTAATTTTAAGCAAGACAGACAATTTTTACATGCAGTACAAATGGAGGAATATTGATGGTTTTACTGTCAGCAGTATAAGTTTGAGACTGGGATATTAAGGAAATTTCTGCTTATACCTTGCACCCAACCTTAATTGTACAGCATCATACTGAATTATCTGTAGAACAATGCCTGTGGTTGCTAGGTTGCTACGATGCCAACCTATGACATCCCTCAGATGAATTTGGCATTAAATAGCAGCAGTCAGAGCATGGAGCCTTCAAGGACCTAGTAGCTGGATCCCAGATAATGGCAGAATGCTAGAAATAAGATTTGGTTCTTAGAAGATCAGTCCTCTTCCTGGGAGGGTGGCCTGCTCCATCTCATATTACATGTCTTCCTGCCTGCCTTAATCTTAATTTTTAGCTGCACTGTCAGACTTAAAATATCCCTAGCCTGTAGCAGCACAAATAATTTTGATAGAATAGATGTGGTAGAGCCTTACATTTTTAATAGCAATATTCTGATGTATAATTAGTATATGTAAACTATTGTTTAAATCCTGATTGTCTGCCCCAAAGGCCTTGGAGAAACATTTAAAATTATTAGAGGTATGAAAGTTGAATAATTTTTATTCAGTTTTGAATCATTATTATTAAATATTTAATGTTCAGTTCAATTCACAGTCTGGGATTGGTAAAAACTTAACAGTTCAAATCCTAACCAAGGACCTAATAGCTATGGGTTGGGTTTTTTTTTTTTTTTGCAAAATCACGAAAGTCAGTTCTTCTTCTTCTTCTTCAACACCATAATAAGAATTTGTTCTTTGAATAGCCTCTGTATGCTGGAAAGCTGTTGTCTGTGTTAAAATATATGCCCCAGAAATATGGGCCTGATGCCTTCTTCAATTTCCCAGGAAAAAGTGCTGCAGTAAGTAATTTTATCTTATCATGTTTGTTTTTTAAAATCTTTGTTTTGTAAGGTACTTGGTCTTTTTTTCCTGAAATCTTAAATATAATATATGTAATAGCTTAAAGAAAAGTAATTCAAATCTTTCTCTGCCAGTTTTGGAAACTAGGTTCTATATACATACAGAGAATGTTTAATAAGCTTTATAGCAGTTGACTACAAGTAAATTTGATGCATATTTTTTTAAAGAGTCATGTATTAATAAACTCAACTTAAAATAAATTAGAAGGAGTTGTCATAGATTTTGATATCATGGGTTCAAGCGAGAAGTGGTTTGCCTGAATAAATACTCAAGCAGTATCATAATTCACATCATTTCTTATACATTTATGCATTTGTTGTTTTTTAAGTAGTCCTCCAGGTCCATTTTTAAATGCAATATTTCCATCGCTTTCCTGTACGCTAAAATTTTAGGATACTCAATAATACCTTTTCTATTTTATTCAAAGAGACTTGATTTTCTTCAGCACTTTTTGATTGCAATATAGGGTTAAGTATTCTCAAAGTTCTTGAGTCCACAAATCATAAATTTCCTTTAACATAGCCATCTGGTGGTTAACTTTCAAAGCTTTCTTATCAGCAATTTAAAAAACACAGAAATTCTTTCCCACAGGAGAGGATATTTTTAGTTAATGTCCACATCTTTCTTTAAATCAAATCATCCAAATTCTTCACATTTAAAAACTTTCCAAAGGAAAATATATAGTCATCTTTTAGTTGCATATTAGAAAAAAAATAAAATCTTTCAAAGCTGGAAATAGGTACTACTTCTTTTTCTTTATAAATACATTAAAGAGGGAATCACATAGCAAATACAAAGTTTGCACTTCTGAAGGGTTTTCAGTCTTCAAGGGATAATAAAAATTAAATTAAATTCCAGCATGATTACAAAAGTGAGGCTAGGTCAAAATTTGAGTCCTTAGAAAAGGCTATATTAATAGCTCAGATGATGATGTAAACTGTGGTTCCCAGCTGATTGCAAATACCTCAATTTCTCCACTAACCAAAGAAACAAAAAAAACAATTGCCATAATATAGATTTACTTTAAATTTAGAATATTTTATATAAAAGGATGTAATAACATTATAGTCAAATGAATGTTTAATAATCATAATAAGTGTGTGTGTGTGTGTGTGTATACATATACATATATATGTGTGTGTGTGTGTGTGTATAC